TAGGGAAAGGGGAGGTGAGGGACGGCAGCGTCAGGGCCACCGTCACGTTGCTATTTGTGTGGACTGCACGGACTGCAGTGTGGTTTGTGCCTCCCGGTGCGGGGGCCACGGGCTACCACGTACCCCGTTAGCTCAAGGCCGCCTTTTCCCTCCCCACAAATACACACTCAGCTCTCGGGACCACTTCTCTGCAGAGTCTCAGCAGTGGCAGACCTGCCCGTGCCTCGCCCTCTGCTCCTTTTCCCGTGGGCACCTCTTGCTAGTTCCTACCCCCGCCAGGAGCGCCTGGAGGTGTCTCCTTATACCATTTGTACCCGGCAGACACAGGCGAGATCTGCTTCTGGGTAAGGCCCCTCCTCCCGGCCCACCTGTCCCCTGTGTCGTGTGCTCCCCGAGCCTTTCGTTACCTTTGTCCTGGCCCATTTCTGCGAGCCACATCTGGAAGGGGCACTTCTGGAGCTGCCCTCACAGACCTTTGTTTTAGATAGATAGCATCACCTGATGTCCTCGATGAGTAACATTTGGTGTGCTAACGCTGCCTGGCCTGTCACACCGATTCCACTCCTTAGTCCCTGCCCTCTGTAGGAAAGATAGAGGTGAGAGATGAGAGATGGGTCTCAGACACTGCTGGCCATACAAAGCGTTACCCACGTTCGCACCTCTGACCCAGCGTTTCTGCAAAGGGTATTGTTCACGGAGTGAACAATTGGAAGTAACCCAAACATTTAACAGTGAGGGATTTGGTAAGTAAGTCACAGTACGTTGGTACAGTGAAATATTATTCACTTGTTAGAGGCATTTGCGAAATTATGTTTCCCTGTTGCTGTGGAACGAGGGTCATGAGGAAACTGATCAGGCTACGAAGGAGCGTGTGCCCTGTGACGCCTGTTTTAGAGTCTGTGTGTGGATGTATACCATCACCCTCTGCCAGGCACTGCGCTAGCATGCTTCGTGGATTATCACTTAGTCCTTGTGACGGCCCTTGGAGTTATTTTCCATCATGTCCATTTTTGAGATGAGGAAACAGGCTCAGAGAGTTAAAGTTACTTGGTCAAGGTCTTGCGGCAACCAAATGGTGTTTTAGCTGTGATTTGAAGGCAGGTCCAGCTGCCTTCAAAATCCTCACCATGATAAGCAATGGAAAACACTATTAAAAATTTGATGCGATAGAAGAGTACGTTAAAATGTTAACCCGGGTTCCCCCGTTATCTGAAAGTAGAGCGTTTCTATGAAACCTTTTGTAAACCGGAGTAGTGTAAAGTGAGCATCCTCTTTAGATCTCTTTCGGTTTAGCAAAGGCAGCTACTAACGTAGGTCTTCCGTAAAAGTAAAGAGGCGAAAAGCGAACTTTCGAAAAGCGGGGTATACCGATGGTGTTGATTTCTGGGTGGCAGGATTATTGGTCATTTCTGTTTTCTTCCGTTTTACATATCTGTTTTCAGTGATGAGCAGGTATTGTGTACTAAACGGAAGACCCCAATAAAATGTAGTAAAGCAGGTCAGGGCTGCAGCTTGTGCTCGTGCGGCAGCTCCCCCTGGATGAGCTGCTAGAGAAACCGGGTGCAGAAGCCACGCTGGCCCTTCAGCCTAGTGCTGGGCCCTTTCTGTAAGGCTCACTGTGTTCACCTGTCCCCTCCTTCATATTCAGGGTGGTTGGGAAGAAATGGGGACAGCAGGGAGATGCCAGTAGCGCCAGGCCTTGCGGTCACTGTCCAGCAGCATTTGGGACTTCCCTCTGTGGCTCTAGCTTGGGGACACTAGTCATCATGGCTTGGCCCCCTCTACTTGCCTCCACAGGCCATTGAGAAACTGGTCGCTCTTCTTAACACGCTGGACAGGTGGATTGATGAGACTCCTCCAGTGGACCAGCCCTCTCGATTTGGGAACAAGGCCTACAGGACCTGGTATGCCAAACTTGACGAGGTGAGGCTGCCGCAGGACAGGCTTGGGGGCTGGGCTGGGGAGAAACCTGTCAGATATCAGAATCACTGGGGAGTTTGTTAAAATGGCAGTTCCGTTTCTCAAAGTACAAATGTGTTTACCCTCTCCCACAGCCATCCTCCAGGAATCACCACTGTGGATTCTCAGTCCTCTGCACAGGGCTGTTTATTACGTGATCGTAGCAACGGATTGAAATGTCCCACGTGTCCATCTGCAGTTTATTATCTGTTAAATAAATTGGAAAGTCAACCCAGGGAGTACCACGCAGCTCTGAGAGAGAATAGGGAGGCCGACTAGGGAACTCGGGAAGGGACCGCAACTTCCAGTGGTCCCTCGGCATCTGTGGGGGATTCGTTCCGGGACTCCCTGCGGATGCTCAAGTCCCTTGTATAAAATGGCGAGGTTCGGTCAGCCCTCTGTATCCATGGGTTCTCCATCTGTGGATACAAAGGGCCTACTGTACTGTTAGGTTAGAGGGGAGCTGGGGTGTTATGCACACGGCAAGCGGCCTTTTGGTAAGAAAGAGGGGAAACAAAAAAGGTATGTTTGTATTTGCTCAGTTTGCACTGGAAGGATATGTAAGAGGCAAATAAGGCTGTGGTTTCTTTTTTTGAGGATGGGGGGAGGGGGTGGACGGGAAAGGGCGAAGTAAGACTTCTCAATGCATCCCTTTTATAATGTATTTATTTTTGAGTCATGCAAAGGTAATACCTGTTAGAAGCAAACAAAAAATAAAAATGCAGGATAGCCACCCCTGGGAGTCGCCAGATTCTCACCAGGTCTCCAGGAGATTCTCATGCCAGGTGATTTTTGGGTTTTTTTGTTTCTTTGTTTTTTGGCCACGCCACGTGGCACATGGGATTTTAGTGCCCCCAACAGAGATTGAACCCTGCGCCCCCTGCATTGGAAGCGCAGAGTCTTAACCACTGGACCGCCAGGGAAGTCCCTCATGCCAGGTGTTTATAGACTGAACTTAGAGAAACTTGCATCCCAGTTTCTTTGGCCTAATGTTTTCACATGGAACAGAGGGGAGTCCCAAGGACCCAGCAAAACACTGTCCTTGCGTAAGAGTGGCCTGGGGCTGCTTCTGGTCTCTAAGATGGCACATGGGCATATTTTTTTTTATTAAGTTATAACTTAAAGAAAGCTGACAAATCATAGCTATCAATCATGTACAGCTTGATAGATCTTTTTTTTAAATAGATTTATTTTTATTTATTTATTTTTGGCTGCATTGGGTCTTCGTTGCTGTGTGCAGGCCCTCCCTAGTTGTGGCAAGCGGGGGTTGCTCAGCAGTTGTGGCACAGGGGCCTAGCCGCTCCACAGCATGTGGGATCCTCCCGGGCCAGGGCCCGAACCCATATCCCCTGCATTGGCAGGCAGAGTCTCAACCACTGGGCCACCAGGGAGGTCCCCTTGATAGATCTTAACATGTTTTTACCCTTGCATCCATCCATATCAAGCCACGGAAAATTCCAGCACTTCAGCAGGGCCTTTGTGCCCCTTTCTAGTTGATATCCCCCAGACTCTTCTGACAGCTGTCCTATAGATCGATCTTGCTTGTGTTTGAACTTCATGTAAATTAAATGTCTGGCTTCTTTTGCTCAACATTGTGTGACTCCCCTGTGCTGTGCGGAGCAGTGGGTCCTCTTCATTGCTACGCAGCATTCCAGGGTCAGGCCATAGCACAAGTTATCCATTCTGCCGTTGACGGACGGTTCAGTTGTGGGTTGTTTCCACGTTTTGTCTGCTATAAATAATGCTGCCGTGAACGTCCTTGCATACGTCTTTGGTGGACCAGTCAGGCACAAACTCCCTTGCTGGGAGTATGAAGAAAGAGGACATCTCTGGAGGTGTCAGTGAGTTACTAGATGGGAAAGTCGAATGGCTTCTTTTTAGATCCCTCCTGTCTTGCCCCCAGAACCGTGTCCCCTGGAGGGAGGGTCAGCAGATGAAGAGCCACCCCAGGGTGGTCTCCGTTGTGTGAAAATAAATGCTCTCCCTCCTCTTCCTTCTGTGGGCAGTCAGAGCAGGGAGCCAGGACTGCTCGCTGTGGCAGCCTGGCTCCAGCCAAGATGCTGCCTCTGGGCACCTGGCCACCGAGATGCTGCCTAATCTGCTGCCACCACTTTGTGTCTCTTATGTTATCAGGAAGCGGAAAACTTGGTGGCCACAGTGGTCCCCACCCATCTGGCAGCTGCTGTGCCCGAGGTGGCTGTTTACCTAAAGGAGTCAGTAGGGAACTCCACGCGCATCGACTACGGCACAGGTACCCGTTACCGTGGGCGGCACCTGCTTGGCTTCGCAGTGGCCCTTTCTCGGGTTGCCTCCTCTTTGCTTTGGGTTGTGTTGGTGGGGTGAGGGAGCCAGCTGGGGTGCAGCGCGGCAGGTGCAGGGACGCCTGCTGCTCTGGCTTGGTCCACCAGGGGGAGCTGGTGCCACATGCATGGTGGCTGTAAGCGCAGAGCTGACTCCTCTTGCTTGTAAAGAGGGCCTCGCTGTGCGCTCATCGTCATCACCAAACTAATAATTTGTTGAGCACTTAGTGTATCCCGAGACAACCGCTTACGGAAGCCTTGAGAACTGAAAGACCCTGGTAGCCTCGGGCAGCGCTGTGGCGCATTGCTGTTAGCCACTCGGTGCCCTTCAGAGGGAGCGCTGTGGGCATCTTAAAAGGGAAGGGGGTGTTCTCTGTCTAGGTCAGGCGTGGCTGAGGAGGGTCGCTGCTTTGATAGGCCCGCCTTTCTTTTCCTTTCCACGCTGAAGCAGGCAAATGCAAGAGCTACTGCTCTCTCGGGCCCTTCCCTCGCCTCTGCGGGAGCCCAGGCCCCAGGGGCAGGCCTGGAGAAGGGCCCCCTTGGACCTGGGTCATGGGAAAGTTCTGTCATCTGCTCCCCTGATGCTGAGGAACAGGCTTATTATCGAGTGAGACTTTTAGGGGCGGCGCTTTGACTGAGACCAGCCGACCAGGAAGACCTGGAGGTGGGAGTGGCCGGGTCAGCAGGGGCTGGGTATTTTCCTCCACTCTCAGATGCTCTTAGCTGCAAGGGCTCTTAGTGCAAGGGTGATGACTGCCCCTGAGTGATGGTGGCCTGGACTCTGGCTGGTCATGATCAAAAACTGTGCCGGTGAAAGTAACAGCTCATAAGCTTTCCAGGCCCTTGGAGGGACCCTTATTCTGCAGAAATAGGACAGGAAGTCACTGAAATATTCTCTTCTCTCCTCCCTCCAAATATGTTTATTAAGACACCATGAACCATGGGATTCGGCCCAGAGTCCAGCTGGCGGTTTCTGTAGCGCTGACCATTTCTATTTGACATGACTGGGAAGGAAGGGGGATGCCTTTTGACCCTGCAATGTGGCCATGCTTCAAATGTGGCCGTGCTTTGAAGCCTTCAGTGGCTCCTCCTGCTCTTAGGATAAAGTCTGAACTTTTTTACTGTGGCTGTAAATGCCTGTCTGATCTCCAGCCTCATTGCATTACACTTTCTCCCTTGCTCTCTCTGCTTTAGCCACACTGGCCTTCCTAGGGTTCTTCAGACATATCACGGTTGTTGTTGTTGTTGTTGTTGGCCTCAGAGCCTTTCCATGTGCTGTTTCTCCTGGCTAGAGTGCCCTTCTTGCTTCCCTCACGCCCTGTGCCTTGCCAGCTCTTACTCATCTTTCAAATTAGATATTATTTCCGCAAGGAAGCCTTCCTGAACCCTAATGTCAGGGTCCCCCGTGATGCCCCCCAAGTATCACCCTCTTCTTCTCCTTCAGAGGTAGGTTCATGGAAGTGATTGTATATTTGATGTCTGTCATCCTGATAGGCCGTAAACTATCAAACAAGGGCAGGGACTTTTGGCCTCTGTCCCTCTAGTGCCTGACATGGGCGGTGATTGCCACCTGCAGTAGGTGCTGCATAAATAGGGCAGAACTGGTGAGTGAGTTAAGCCTCCAAAATGAGATGTGAATGCCTACGGAAGCATCACCAGCCTGGGCCTTTTTAGGAGTAGGATTATAGTACTAGTGGCTCTTAAAAGGACCTAGTTCTTTCTGCATGGGGAAGAAGCCCCGTCACCTCCGTGTTCACCTCCGTCCTTAGAGGGGAAGTTAGCAGTGATTTGGACTCTGGTGAGACCAAGAACAGTCCCACGCCCTCTGGAAGACTGTCAACCTCGGCTGTGTTTTCTCCCCCAGGACATGAAGCTGCCTTTGCTGCTTTCCTCTGCTGTCTCTGCAAGATAGGGGTGCTGCGAGTGGACGACCAAATAGCCATTGTCTTCAAGGTGTTCAATCGGTGAGTGAGCCCGGCGGGAGGGGCGGCGGCCGGGGGAGGAACAGCCGGGGTCTCTTTCCTCCTTGTTACCATCAGACTGGGGACGGGGTGCTAGAGGGGGCTCCCGAGGGGCCGTTGCTTCTCTTGTCCTGTCCTAATCAAGCTGTGACTGTGAACAGGGTGTCCAAGACTCCTCCTTCCGACAGGTTCAAGTTCAAGCAAAAATAAACGAAGGGAATGTTACATAACGACCGCTAACGCTTCTGTGGCATTTATCGCGCAGAGGTTAACTTCTAGGTGCTTTACATACAAAACTTCTCACGAAGACGCTCATTTCCATTTTATAGATGAGGAAACTGAGGCATAGAGAAATCAGGTCCCTTCACTGAGGTCACAGCCAGCTGAACCCAAGCAGTCAGGCTCTGACCTGCTCCCCTCACCACCCAGACCACCTCCCAGCACGCGGGTGTGTCTCCGTCACCAGAGGGCGCTGACACGTCTGTTCTGGGCCCCACTCTGGTGCTGCTGGTGCCGCAGCTCCGAGGGCGGTTCCCGAAGGGATCTAGGGGATGATCTCCCTGGACTCCCATCAGCTTTCCTATGGGCAACCTGAAGCAAGAGAAGCTGCGGCTCCTGCCCAGGCTCTCAAGTTGCCAGGAGGTGATGGCACTAACCCCCTTTCCCAGTTGGTGTTTGCCCCTTTCGTGGGCCAAAAGGAGGCTGAGTGTGAAGGGAGAAAATGAAGTTCCATAATTTTGAGTGTATCAGCTGATGTGTAACATAGGCATGCAGGTTTTCCTTGGAAAGGAGATCTGTTACACTCTTAGGTGGTTATTTCTGGCCTCCTTTGCTCCCAATGGCCGAAGGGTTGAGACTGTCTTTCTGCTTCTTGCCACCTCCCCTCCCTTCCCTGCCCTCCTGTGCAGGTACCTTGAGGTTATGCGGAAGCTCCAGAAGACGTACAGGATGGAGCCGGCCGGCAGCCAGGGCGTGTGGGGCCTGGATGACTTCCAGTTTCTGCCCTTCATCTGGGGCAGTTCGCAGCTGATAGGTACTGAGGTACCCTGGCCCTCCTCCCTCCCCTCCTGCCCAGGGCACACAGTGACAGCTTGGAAAGCAGGCATTAGACCGGCTGTTGACGGAGGCTGCTTGCTGCCGACCTTCCGCTGCAGCTGGCGTGGCAGGCTGGGGAGGCTGAGGCAGATGATGGAAAGTGACACGGGCTGCAGCAAGGGCGCCTGGCGCGTAATGGACTGGTGTGAAATGCGCCCCGGCTCCTGGCGGCAGCTGCGGGGTTTTATGTTGAAAATGAGGGGTTCTTTTGACTCAGTGACCAGCATCATCCACTGTTATTATCGAGCCGTGCACAGGGGGGGGCCCGTCGAGGAGCTGCTGCTCGCTCCGGGCCCGCTCTCGGGGTTCCTCCCGCTTTCCCACGGGCGAGCCAGAGTGGGTGAAGGGTCCACGTCTGTTGCCACGTAGGATTAACTGCCCACGGAGTCATATTAATAAACAACCCTTTGTTGAGTGCTTCCCTGCGCCAGGCACTGCTCTCTGTGCTTCAGGCAGGTCATGCAAAGGACCCTGGGAAGGCTCTTTGCCGGCAAACCGCCGACCAGCACTCACCCGTGCAGGCACCGTGCAGAGTGCTTCACGGTGCTCCTGACGTTCAGGTGGCACTCCACAGCCCCACTGCACGGGTGAGGCAACTGGGTGGCATGGCTGGAAAGCAGCAGGACCGGAGCTTATTACACTAGAGTACAGACCTGCACAGGGCCATTGATTGCTCCAGCGAGATCAGGCGTTGAGGGCGGTGGGCAGGACTGCAGCCCTGGGGTGGGTGCAGATGGCACCGGGCTGCGGTGCCCCGCTGGCGCGAACGCCTGGTTCTGAACCCTGGGGCTCTTTGCTGTTTCCAGACCACCCGTGTCTGGAGCCCAGGCACTTTGTCGATGAGAAGGCCGTGAACGAGAGCCACAAGGAGTACATGTTCCTGGAGTGCGTCCTGTTTATCACCGAGGTGAGCGGAAGGGCTGAGGGAGGGGCCCGCGGCAGCCTCCGCGCCGAAAGGGGCTGAGGCTGGTGGCTTTGGACACAGGAGCCGGAGCTGCCGTCTGAAGATGGCAGGGCCAAGCCCTGAAGTGGGTTGTTGAAAAGGAAGCCCAGCCAGGCCTCTCTGAAAGGTTAAGCCACCTTCTGACTGTCCAGGCTCTCTTCCTCTAAATCAGTACTCTGGGGTTTCTACTGGAGCCGACGGATTAAGACCTGGTCATTAGGTGGACTTGGTGACCGACACAGCAGGGCTGAAGGGTGGGGGCCACAGGGTCTGCAGAGCTGTGTGCGTGTGGACGTGTGCGACGAAGCCATTGCAAGAGTTGGAGAGACTGGAGTGGACGACGGGACAGATCCCTGCTGAAGGGACACGCCTTTGCTGGACCTGGGCCGAGGGAGGTGCTGGAAGCACAAGTGAGCAGGCCTGGACCCCCAGCCCACCCAGGGGGGGTCGTTTAACTGGGTGTCGTTGTCCTGCTAAAGTAGGGCCTCCCGCCAGTGCAGCCTTGGACCGCTTCCTCAGGGTCACCTGGGGAGCTTGTGAAAATGCACGTTCTTGGGCCCCACCTCAGCTTTCTGAATCAGAATCTTGGGGGACAAGCGCTAGGAACCTGAATTTAAACACATATGCCGGGTGATCATGCGTGAAAGTTGGGGACCCACTGCGCTCGGGCCTCTCTTTCAGGAGGTGTGGGGGCCTATCATCCTCCCTGCCTGGTACCCGCCCCACAGGCTTCCAGAGGGCACCCTGGCTCTGCTGCCTGGAGAGGGTCTCGCCCCCGTTCTCTTTCCTGATGCCCGCAGG